AGTAATAACAACAATAATCAATATCATCATGGTGGGCAGCAGTGGTGGTGGTGGGCGGCAGCAGGACTGGCCTGGGGCCGGTCCAAAGGCCTCGGGGGGCTGCATCCAGCCCCCAGGCCTTAGGTTGCCTACCCCTGGGCTAAACGGTTGAGCAAGAAGAGGTGCTTTCAGGCTGGCTTCAAGGTGTGGCATTTAGATGATGCCTTGAAGCCAGCAGGAAAGCACCCTCTAGGTGCCTTATGGGGAGAAAAGCCACTTGAATGAGAAGCAGCGTTTCCCCGCTTCTTCCTGAAAAGTGCACACCTTCACATGTGTGTATAAATGCACAAATGCCAGTGCAGATCTAAAAAGGCACTCTTTCCTAATTGTGCATGTAAAAGGAACAGAGCTGCTGTACACAAGTGGTGGTGGTGGCAATGCCCAAAAGAGAAACCACGGAATCTCTCGTGGAGGTTTGTACAACATACATAAAACAGACAAAGAGGGGGCATAAGGTGAAAGGGAGGGGAATGAAGGGAGGCATGATTGTACCTTGCTGGCATCTTCATGGGCACATCTCTGCTCTGATGTCCTATTCCGGTGAAACACTACACATGTGAACGTGTGCAGGTTCACAGGGATGGCAGTCACCGGCAGTTCACTCCTGCAAAGGTGCACAGGAATGGTGGTGGGGACAGTAAAAAAACAACAACCCCGTGGCATGGTCTAAAGCCATGCCGTGTGGTCATGACATGTGCACTCCAGCTGCCTTGGGAGCTGGTGGTGTGGTTGGTGTGGTTTCAGTGTGGCTTTGGAAAAGGCAGCTTCAAGCCAACTTTTTCCTGCCCATCTGTTTTGCCCCATACTCTCTAAACCTAAGAGGAAGGCAGTGTGAAAACTCTTCTGAATAAATCTGCCCAAGAAAACAGTAGGATAAAATTTCCATGTGTCATTGTCTTCCCGAAGGCACAGTACAACCCTAGTAATCCTGTCTGCATGGGCCAAATGCAATGTTCTCCTCTCCCAACATTTCCTCAGCAGGGCAACTGGACAAAGCACAGCCCAAAGTCCATTTCTAGTGTGAGCAGACCAGACAACAACTGGCCTGTTCAGCCCCAGAAACCATGGTTTATCCCTTTTAGCATAGGGTTTTAAAGGTCCCTGTTTGCGCCAAATCTTCCAGGAAGATCCAGAGCCCTCCATTCTGAAGCTGGGTGGCTGAACACATGTGCATCCCCTGAGGTATCCAATGCATCTGCTATTGCTGCCAGTTGCTCATTCTGAGGCCAGAATGATGTGCCTGGCCATGTGACCATCACTGGGTGCCTCTTTCTGACTTCACAGTGAAGTGATCTGCAGCATCAGCAGATGCATCAGGTGGCTCAGTGGGACACAAGTGTGGTCAGCCATCATGCTTCAGAATGGAGGACTTTGCAACTCCAGAGCTAGGATAATCCAGACTGCCCCACTCCAGTGCAGACAGGCTTCAGTCTACTGAACTCCTGGGTCCTACCTCTTTTTTCTAAGTGAATGTGCAGTCCTTTTTAGTGAGTCAGTGAAATAACCACATTTTCTTCAAAGCTGAAGTTTTCATTCTCAAGGTATTGACACTTGATCAATGCATTATAAACTCTTCATGTAATCTTGACATGTTTCTCTTAAAGGCTCAAGTCAGATGTTGGCAATCTTATGTGACAAAGATTTTCATCCCTAAGATATGAACTTTTGCTTACTTTTGCAAAAGTATTTTTAAAAAAACACAAAGTCACAAATAACATATAATATAGCTTGTTTCTCCCTTATTTAGAATTCCAAAGTCTGAAATACTCCAAAACTTATTAAATGAGTGGTTGAGATAGTAATACCTTTGCTTTCTGATTAAATTTTGTTTCATGCACAAACTATATAAAATATTGTATAAAACTACTTTCAGACTATATGTATAAGATATATATGAAACATAAATGTATTTTGTGTTTAGACTTGGTCCCATCTCCAAGATATCTCATTATGTGTATGTAAATACAGGTATTTCGAAATCCAAAAAACTCTGAAAACCAAAATACTTCTAGTCCCATGCATTTCAGATACTTAACCTGTACCCACAGCACAACATTGTTATCATTATATATATGGGATGTGTGAAACAAAAGGATACAAAAGGATTGTGTTAATTGCCTTGTCCATGTTATCAGCTCCAAGGAAACTACTGTTTTCTTGTTGAAACAGGATACAGGCTGGCTAAGGTGTTCCACACCTTTGGTCTGCTTTCAAGATATACTTGTTAGGACAATAAGCATAGAAAACTGATGAGTTAGAAAGATGGTTTGTACAAAATAATAGTAATGACTGGGGAAATCAAAATGTTTCAAACTTTTTTCTTTTTCTACCTGTAGACCAGGCTGTTTAATTCGGTCTCCTGGTTTTTCGAAATCCTTTTGGCAGAGGAATTACAAACTTTTAACACTTTTTAGCAGGGGTTGGAAACCTATGGCCCGGGGGGCCAGATCCGGCCCCCTGAGGCCTTTGGACTGGCCCCAGCCCAGTCCTGCCACCCGCTGCGCAAGTCGCGGCCGCCATTTTGTTTTCCAAAATGGCACCGTGACTTGTTTGTGCATGCGCTGGAGTACTGCGCATGCACAAATGAGTCACGGCCACCATTTTGCTTTCTGTGCAGTACTCCGGTGCATGCACAACGAGTAACATTGCCATTTTGGAAACAAAATGGTGGTCGTGACTCGCTCACGTATGCACAGTACAGCAGAAGTACTGTGCATGTGCGAGCAAAGTGAGAGCGCGCATGCACAGTATTTCCAGCGTATTGAGCATGCGCGCGTGAGCGTGTTCATGCGGTGCCATTCCCCCCCCCTCGGCCCGTGGAAGACCTCGGGACCAGCGGATCAGCCCCCGGTAAGCAAAAGTTGCCTACCCCTGCTTTTTAGCTAGCCAAAATCAGGAAGTGTTTATACACACAAACACACATACACACACATATACACTGTATATAGAGTCAAGTTTGCAGTGTTCCTATGCTCAAAGCAAGTGAATGGAACACCCAAATTGATGTTCCTGAAGACCTCTCAATTTTTTGTTTTCCATATACAAAAAGAACTCTAAAGCTGAATTTGCAAACAATGCCAATAGCAACAAAACAAACAAATCCAGGAAAATAATTTCTGACATGAAAATAATTGTCTTGACAACTTGTGCTCTAGTTTATTTTTATGTTTAAAATAAAATATTTTATCTTAATAGTTATAAGGCTGTTAACATCCAAACTATGTGCCAAGGACATAGTGGTTCACTACAAGACCGATAAATAGGTCTTGTTCTCTAGATACTGAGGGGGCATTTTAAAAAATGTTTTAGCCCCTTTTCCAGGGGCGATTTTAATCCCAGAAGTGTTTGTTTTTCAGAAGGTATCAGAAGTTGCTTCCTATTTTCTTCCAGGTTGTTGTTGGTTTTTTTAAAAAAAAAAAAAAAGAAAAGAAAAGAAAAGAAAAGCCTTTTCTGGGCCTACAATTGTCCAGGGAGCTCCAAAATGCAGCAACAGTGTCCTCCATGCCCCTTAGGGGCATTTGGGGGCAAAATTTACATTTTAAATATTTTTTTTTTTACAAAAAGAAATGGTTTCCTGGAGAACCCTGAGGGCGACAAAAATAGCCCTGAATGGTCACATGCAGCCCATGGCCTGTACTTTGCCATTCATGAGACTGGCAGTCCAAAACAGGCAGTTAAACTGCATTATTTCAAACCGAAACCCGGGAGAGTCAGTGTGGTATCATGGTTTAAGCATTGGACTAGGATTCCAGGAAACCAGGGTTCAAATCCCTGCTAAGCCATGGAATCCCACTGGGTATCCTTGAACAAGTCACACTCTCACAACCTCAGAGAAAGGCAATGACAAGTCTCCTCTGAATAAATATTGCCAAGAAGCCCTTATATGAGGGTTGCCATAAGCTGGAGGCCTAACTAGAGTAGATCCACTGAATTAATAGGAGCCTGGTAAGTCAACAGTTATTCAGATTTCAGTACAAAGGTGGGGAGCATGTGGCTCTCTAGATATTGTTGAACTGCAAATCCCAGCATTCTTCATAACTGGCTGTCCTAGCTAAGGCTGCTGCAGGGTCACACAATCCCCACCCCAGATTCAATTATTCCAATCTAATTTAGACTAATAACTGGATTTAGGCTAAAGCCTAAAGTAGGTGTGACACTAGCCTAATCAAAATGTAAAAGTGTCCTGGTAAGACTACGGGCCTCTTCCGGGCCCAGAAGAGGAGGGGCAGCCGCACGAGCGGCGCCCCTTCCTCTTCCTGGGGTCGCCCTCGGAGTCGCCAGCCGTTCACATGGCCGGCGCTCCGGGGATGACCTCATGCCGCGGCGACCGCATGCGCCGCGGCGTTTGAGTCAGGGAAAGTGTGCCCACCGCTTTTAGGGTGCACTTTCCCTGAAATCTAAAAGGAGCGCCAATTTGGAGCTCCTTTTAGATTCACCGGCGACCCGCAGCACACGGGAAGCTCCCGTCTGCTTCCCCCCACATGGATAAATGTTTATGATCATGTATAGCTAGAACAAGTAATATTACATACTCCCTACTTCCTTGAGCAGTGAGAGAAAAATGTTGAGCTGTGGCTGGCTTTCTTAAAGGAGTGATTCCTTTAGGATAGGAGTAGAGACACTCCTGATGTTATTGCAGTATAACTCCCATTAGCCAGTGGTGAATTACTATTGAAGGTAGCTATCCAATAACATGGAACTGGATGTGTTTGTTCTCTGCTCTAGACATAAACTGTTTTGGTTGAATATATGGGAAGAGAAACATTGAGGACAAATAGCATAGCACTCCATTATTCCCACATCTGATATCCAAGAGAGGGACAGTACTGAATGCTCAGTTGCGTTCATCTTAATGCTACTTAGCTCTCCCTCATTCTCTTTTCCAATAACATGTTTGCCACATACACATGCACGCATGCATGTGCGCACACACACACATCTGCAAAACAATAAAAACAAATTTGAAGTAGAGCAGTAAGACTGAGAAGCTGAAGTTTGAAATGACACTTTTCTTATTCTCAGTGTCCCCTGAAACTTGCTTCTATTTCTACATGCACATACAGATAGAGTTTATAACATCCTTAACTGAAAGGGAAGGCAGCAGGAAAGGTGTGTCTCCTTCCCACAATGGCTCTCACATTCCAGGGATTCCAGAATACTCTTACATGAAGGAACCATTTCTTTAATAGCTTCTGAATCATGCAATGGCAAAAGGAATATGGTAAAACAGGGGAGTATGACTGTCATCATGTCAGGATAGTTACTAAATGGGGATCATTGGTATTTCTGGGAAATGAAGATGGTGGCTGGTGCAACCACCTTGCCCACCACCATTTTACTCCACAGAATCATGTAATCATAGAACCATAGAGATGGAAAAGACCACAAGGACCATCCAATCAAACCCCCTCCCATGTATTTATTTATTATTTATCTGATTAATTTCTATCCCACCTTTCTCCGTGAAGGGACCCAAGGCGGCTCACAAATAAAATTCTAAAAAACAATATCACAATAAAACAATTAAAAAACATCAACTAAAAATAATATAAAACACAAACATTACAACCACAATACCCATATAAAATCCATCCCATAATTTTGCATTATGCATTAAAAGCCTGCCTAAAAAGACAAGACAAGCAAAGAGAAGACAAGAAGTAAGGAGCCAGCCTTAATTCTTGTGGAATGGCATTCCAGAGGGCAGGAGCAGTCATCAAGAAGACTCTCTCTCGTGTCCTCACCAGATGAAACTGTGATGGTGGCGGGACTAAGAGAAAGCCTCCTTCTGAAGACCTTAGGGCTCTAGGTGGTTCATGTGAGGAGATATGGTCTCTCAAATAATTGGACCTAAGCCATGTAGGACTTTATAAGTCATAACCAGGACTTTGAATTGTGCCCAGAAAAGAACTGGTAGCCAGTAAAGCTGTTTCAGCAAGGGAGTTATATGGTCCCTAAAACTGGCCCCAGTTAGCATTCTGGCAGAGGCGTTCTGCACAAACTGAAGTTTCCGACCAATTTCCAAAGGCAGCCCCATGTAGAGTGCATTGCAGTGGTCCAAATGGGATGTAATCAAGGCATGTGTCACTGTAGCCAGATCTGACATCTCAAGGAATGGGTGCAGCTGGCGCACAAGTTTTACCTGTGCAAATGCACTCCTGGCCACTGCTTAAACCTGGGCATCCAGGCTCAGAGTGGAGTCCAGGAGCACACCCAAGCTGTGAGCCCGAGATTTCAGGGGGAGTGTAACCCCATCCATCACAGGCAATGTCCCTATTCCCTGATCTGTTTTATGACTCACCAGGAGCACCTCTGTCTTGTCTGGATTAAATTTCAGTTTGTTTGCCCTCATCCAGTCCATTGCTGACTGCAGACACAGGTTCAGTATGGAGACAGCTTCCTTGGAATCAGATGGAAAGGAGATATAGAGTTGGGTGTCATCCACATACTGATGACACCCCACCCCGAAATTCGGAATGACCTCTCCCAGCGGTTTCATGTAGATGTTAAACAACATGGGCGACAGAACAGAACCCTGTGGGACACCACAGGCCAGTGGCCAAGGAGTCAAACAGGAGTCCCCCAACAGCACTTTCTGAGTCCACCCCTCCAAGAAGGACTGGAATCACTGCATAACAGTGCCCCCAAGTCCTATCCCCAAAAGGCGGCTCAGAAGGATGCCATGGTCAATGGTGTCGAAAGCCACCGAGAGATCCAGGAGAACCAACAGATGCACTCCCGCTGTCCAGTTCCCTGCAGAGGTCATCCACCAAGACAACCAAAGCTGTCTCCGTCCCATAGCCAGATCTGAAGCCAGATTGAAATGGATCTAGATAATCTATTTCATCCAGAAACTCCTGGAGCTGGGAGTCCACTACTTACTCCAGAACCATGCCCAAGAATGGAATATTAGAGACTGGCCAATAGTTATCCAGAATGGATGTAGGAACACACAACCATAGCACTCCTGATAGATGACCATCCAGTGTCTGTTAAAAACCTCTGAAGGAGACTCAACCATATGCCAAGGCAGCATATTCCACTGTTGAACAGCTCTTACTATCAAGACATTCTTCCTAATGTTGAGGTGGAATCTCTTTTCCTGTAGCTTGAATCCATTGCTTAGTATATGGAGCAGAAGAAAGCAAGCTTGCTCCATCCTCAATATGACATCTTTTCAAATATTTAAACATGGCTATCATGTCCTCTCTTAACCTTTCTTTCTGCTGGCCAAACATATGCAACTCCCTAAGCTGCTATTCATGGGGACTGGTTTCAAGTCCTTTCCCCATCTGATCAAGATCCTCTGGACACACTCCAGCTTGTCAGCATCCTTCTTGAATTGTGAGGCCCAGAACTTGACACACTATTCCAGATGAAGTCTGACCAAAGCAGAACAGAGTAGCACCATTGCTTCCCTTGATCTAGACACTATACTCCTATTGATGCAGTCTAGAATCATACTGGCTTTTTTAGCTGCTGCATCACACTACTGACTCATGTTCTGCTTGTGGTCCACTAAGGGAGGATGCAGACCGACACTTTAGGCTGGCCTGGGGGTGGAGTTGAGGCAGGGGGAGCCCATGTCAACCATTCTGACTCTGCCCTGACTCCCCCTCAACTGCCCCCCAATGCCACATGCCCAACCACATGGCGCGTGGCATCAGGGTGCCCTCTTGGCGCAGTGTGCAGAAACGCTACACCAAAGGGGTGCAAAAGAGCTGCCATAGTGGCTCTAAGGGCAGTTTTTTGCCACCCCAAAAATGAGCAGCATTTGCCCGCTCTTTTGGGGGTGGCAAAAAGGAGATTGGGGTCACAGTGTATGGTTGCCATGGCCCCAATCCATCGCTCCCTAGATCCTTTTCACATATACAGTTGTCAAGCCAGGTGTCCCCATTCTGTATCTGTGCATTTCATTTTTACTGCCCAAATGTAGTATCCAAGATGTTTCCTGTTCAAATTCATGCTGTTAATTTTGTCCCAGCTCTCTAATCTGTTAAGCCTATTTTAAATGCTGATCCTGTCCTCTGAGGTATTAGCTACCCCTCCTAATTTGGTGTCATCTGCAAATTTTGGTAAGCATGCCCTCTGTTCCATCCTCTAAGACATTTATAAAGATTTTGAATAGCACTGGACCCAAGACAGAATCCTATGTTACCCTTTTAGTCACTTCTCTCCAGGATAAGAAGAGCTGTTGTTGAGCACCATTTGGGTTTGGTCAGTCAACCAATTAGAAATCCCTAAGTGTAGCATTGGCTAGGCCATGATTTACTAGCTTTTTGCAAGGATCTCATGGGGGAACCTTATCAAAGGCCTTACTGAAATCAAGGTATGCTATATTCATAGCATTCCCTTCATCTACAAAGCTTGCAACTCTATCAAAAAAGGAGATACAATTAGTCTGGTATGACTTGTTTTTGAGAAACATATGTTGACTTTAAGTGATCATGACATTCCTTTCTAAGGAGATTTTCCCATGGGCAGAAGTGACAGGAGCATAGAAGGATGCTCCCATCACTATCGTGCAATTGCATGAAGATTATCAGATAAAGTTGTGCCAATCGCATCATTAACCCATGAATAAAGAGGAATTCTAGAGTCACTTTTTATTCACACGACTTTCCCATGAAAAAAAGCAACTGGAGAATTCCTCTTTATTCATGGGTTAATGACGCAATTATCATGACGTTGCACAACATCCTTTGATAATCTTCACACAATTACACGATAGTGAAGGGAGCATCCCACTATGCTCCCATCACTTTTGCCCACGTGAAAATCT